CCGTGTTGCTAATGCCTACAGAAAGGAAGGCTAAGCCACTGTTCCTTGCAAATCTGACCGGCAGAAGGCCCAGGGGACGGCTAAGATTAATTAACCTGGTGCAAATATACGGAAGGAGTCTGTTCCTGACTACATTTATCTCTTGCCGAAAGTCAGACTCTGGCACAGGATCAGGAACTTTGGAAGCTCTCTGATACGTCTGCCTTAGCGAGCCGAAAGGAGAAACGGCCATGGAAGATGAAGATGGTAAGAGTCTGTAATCCGTTTTACCACATTTGCAATTCGAGTATCCTCCTTTTATGCAGAGGTATGCACATATGCAGAACGACGTCACTTGTCAACCTCGCAGGAGACCTACTTGAACGGTTCCTCGCTATCTGTAAGTTTGTCAAGGAAATGTTTTTTCACCGCTACCATTCAACATTGTTACCCAGTTTCTTTTCTGAAATAGTACTGACTCCTGTAAAGGTGAAGATCTGATTCAAGAAAGAAAGCGCAACTGATGATGTCTGGCCAGATATCATACGGTGTCTGTTTATCAATTTATTGAGATCATCACGTTGAGTAGTTTTCCAGTAGTAGAACGTCTCTGGTTTGCTACGTCCAAAGTATACCAGCTTTTCATCACTTCTGCTACACAGCATCGGTTACCCCATCGTGCAGATTACCTCATGTTGCATTTTTGCCCACTCATCGACATCTGTCGTATTTTGACTGGTCAGATGGAGTAAATGGCGTATGCTGCATCAAGTTTCTATAACTATTCTGCTAACCTCCACTACTCGGTCTTCACAACTAAAGGAGTCGCATGTGACAAGAAGAAAACAGAGTCACTCATTACATGGCCCTGTCATTTAAACCTCCTTATACGTCAAATCCAACGCCGGAGAATAGCGTCTAGTGTGGGAACCAAAACAAGGCATATGTCGACCAAGGAACCATGATGCAACAAGCAAAAACAATGCTAAAAGCAGATCTATTTTTGCAGGGGAATATTTTTTCAGCTTTTGACGTTACAATTCAGAGAGGTCCTGCTAATGCAGATGGCTGAAGGAGAAAATCTGAGAAACATCAAGCAGGGAAGTTTTTGATTTGCCGGAAGCAACTGATCGACATCACAACCTAGTGTTTAAAAACTGCAATGGGACATGTTCAATTTGCTTATACGAAAGAAGCTTCACGACAAGAAGCTGAGTTCGTGAAATAAACCCCATGTACATACCTGCAAGCGACTACAGTAACTTCTGTAAAACGTTGAAATAAAAAAGATTGTATTCTAACAGCAAAGAAGAACCTGTAGTGGCTACAGAATAATCACGTGGGGAAACGCTTGGCAAACAGCCAGGATGTCACTTTTTAAGGAATTTAAACAAATAAACTTCAGCTGGAATGAGTCAGTAAATGAAAGATCTGAAAAGCACCCGCCTACAGCCTACAGGATGTGAGGTGAAAGAGAACCAGAAAATCCGCGCTGTAAATCAGCTGTCGATCGACTAGCCAATTACCTCAAACAGGTAGAGGCGGTGACTACGGCCACAAAGAAGTACAACAAGATGGTGACGAGCAACGCGAGCAACGTTCCTTTCGGAATGGCTTTCTGCGGTTCGTTCAGGTCACCGGAAATGTTGGCGCCAGCCATGAAGCCGGTCATCGCCGGAAAGAACACCGCGAACACCGAGAAAAAGTTCTCGTCGCGCCAGTCAGGGAAAAAGTTTTGCTTC